GCACTAGGGTTGTCTCATCAAGTCTGCGATCTTATGTATCGATCATTTTCAAACATATGGTACTCTTGCTTAGTTAATGGGGAGTTTTATGGGCATTTCAGATCGTCTCGTGGAGTTCGGCAAGGTGATCCTCTTTCTCCTCTGCTGTTCATAATGGCGCAAGAAATTCTCACTCTCAATATCAAAAGATTGGAGGCACAAGGGCTTATTAATGCATATAAAGTTCGAAGGGGTTCGCTCCCTATTTCTCATCTTTTTTATGCCGATGATATGCTTCTTTTTACCAATGGATGTAAGTCATCGATCAAAAATTTACGGCTGCTTTTGAAACAATATGAAGAATCATCTGGCCAATTGATTTGTTTGGAGAAGAGCGGATTTTATACGTCAAAACACCTTCAGGCAAATAAAATTCTTCGCCTCAAGGATTGGAGTGGTTGTTTACACAAAGCTTTGCCATTACAGTACTTGGGAGTGCCAATATATCGAGGGAGGTGTTTGATCAAACACTTCGATTACCTGATCCAGCAGGTTCAAAATCGGTTATCTGGATGGCAGGCAAAAATGTTATCGTTTGCAGGTAGGATGACTTTGATACCATCGGTACTGAGCAGCCTCCCAACGCACACTGTATCTTCTACGGTGGTTCCTTCACAAACGCTAGTCTGAATGGAAAGTCTTTTTCGGAAATTTTTATGGGGCAAAAAAGAAGGACCAGGAATTCATTGGGTTAGCTGGGAGAAAGTATGTCGTCCAAAGGCGGAAGGTGGTTTAGGTTTTAGATCCCTTTTTGACATGAAAAATATTATGGTGGGCAAGTTAGCATGGAAAGTTCTTGAGGGGACGTCGCTTTGGGCAAGGTTTGCTAGAGCTAAATATGGTGATAATTTCGGGAATGCTCCTCCACTGCATGCCTCAATACTTTGGCGTGAAGTATACCCTCATTTTCACATTTTGGAGACTCATAGTCGTTGGATTATAGGCCAAGGAAAAATTGATTTTTGGAAAGATCGGTGGTATGATGGTGACGTTCTTGATGCAAATAAAACCCTCACTTTCAAAGAAGCTAAGGCGCAACCAGATATTTCCAAAACTTTTCTCTCTACAGATCAACATAAATTTTTCGATTTAATCTCTCTGGATGATCTCACTCCAGATCAACTAATATTTACTGAATCTATTTCAGGGAAGTTTAAAGTGGCGGATTATTGGGATCTGCTCCGTACCAAAAGTCCAGCAAATACTTTCTCGAAGCGAATTTGGCATCCCAAAATTCCTTTGAAAATAGGAGCCTTCTTTTGGAGACTGTCCTATGGTGCAATCCCAGTGGACCTGGCCTTAAAAAAACGGGGCTGCATTTTTCCATCAAAGTGTCGTTGTTGCGAGATTCCACGACAAGAAGACTTCGCTCACCTTTTTCTACAATCGGACGTGGCTCAGGGAGTTTGGCAGTCTTATGCCTCGATTTGGCATAAACCATATCATTATGGGTCAATGCATCACCTTATTAGAACTTGGACGTCCGGTCATAGTCTTCGTACGCAGGATGGGTTGATTGCTTTGGGAATCTTGTTTTTTGGCTGTTGGGAGATTTGGAAAAGTCGGTGTTGTGCTATTTTCGAGGACATTCCTATGAATACGGCAACCATCGTACGGAATATGACGCAACATCTGAAAACTCTAAATGACGCCATTCAAGTTCGGGCATCGGAGGATAAGGAGGCGCGTATTGTCATCCAGTATCTCAACTTCAGAATCAAGACTTCAACGATGCTTAAGGGCATCTGGATTAAATGGCAGCCTCCATTCCCTCCCAAGGTTAAACTGAATGTTGACGGCTCGATGAAGGGAGAATTTTGTTCAGGTGGTGGCGTGGTTCGCATCTCTACTGGAAACGTGGTTCAAGGATTTTCTCACTTTTACGGCAAAGGATCTCTTCTTTTCGCAGAAGCTCAAGCTATATTAGATGGGTTGATTATATGTCAGGAATTAGGAGTCGAAGAATTGATTTTTGAATCAGACTCAAAGCTCGTATTAGACATGATACTTAACAAGGCTACCGTGGCATGGGAGATTCACTACATTATAACTTGCATTCGGCAGCTTCTTAAAGACTCTTGGGGTGGTCAACATGTTTATAGAGAGGCAAATAGTGTAGCCGATGAATTAGCTAAGCTGGCTCATGATCATAAGGAGAAGAAACGGTATTCAGCAGGTGAATTTCCTCGTCAAATTCAACCCTCCATTTTATTAGATCGCGTCGGAATGCAGCGGTTCCGCAAAACTTCGAAGCTCAACTGAAGATGGTTTTTATGATTACCTACAGCCTCTTTCAACTCTGTAGTGGTGGATGTTTGTTTATTTGCATTAGTAACCGGTTTTGGGGCCTTTTAGATATTTTTTATAATTTAACTAGATATTGGGTTGCTACTCTTAGTATTATCTTATTTCGCCCACATTTGGGTCAAATTGTAATTAGAAAAGTTAGGAGAATCCTTGGCTTTTTATTACCATTGTAAGGGTACTCTTTCCTTGTGCTAGGCCCACAAGGTTTTAACGAGGCCCCAAACGCCTATTTATAATGGAATAACAAAGTCTTTTTGGCCAAAAAAAAAAAAAAATAAAATAAAATAAAATAAGCAGAGCTGTAATTAAGAAGAAAAAAAACTCAAGCAAACAAATCTGGAAAATAATATGATGATGCTAAAGTATAGCTCACCTAGGATGATGTAGAAAACAAGCAGGGAGAGCAAAGCTGATCAATAGCTATTCAACTCGATGATCCTGAGGTCCCTACAAAATGAGCACACGTGAACTAAGCCGGGGGTTGATCCGGCGGAAACCCCTCCGACGCTCAAGTCAGATGTACGGATCGTAAAGAGAGTAGAGAGAATAAAACTCGAGGTGAATTGTCAAATATGAGAACGTACCTTTACAAATGAATAAAACTTCTATTTATATATCGTTGAATGGGTTGGGCTTACTTTGTTGGGCCCAAGCCTTATTTTGAAGGAGCTTGGGCTTTCGTGTAATGGGCCTAATTGGTATATGAATTTGAGGGCCCATTGGGCCGGCCCATTTAGGTATATCATTATAATACATAAGAACAAAAAATGTAAAAAAAAAAAAAAAGAAAGTGTGTTGGTTCCCCACGTCCTCGAAGAATGTCACAATAGCTTACTAACCTCCACATTGCGTATTCCATGTCTCTAGTCAAACTTGTCGTACCATATTCTTTAAAGCCTGTGTCTAAAAGATATGATACTGCTAGTAACAACTATTTCTACGAACATGGCATCGAATAATGAGAAAGCATAGCAAATATATATGACTACATATGAATCTCATATGACTACTAAAAAAATATGCCTATATTTGAATGTAATTCAAATTTATTGTATAATTCACGTACTAGTTATAAAGTCATACCACCATTAACACTGCTTATAACTGCATATAAGCATACAGAATAACACAATTCAATAAAAATCATTACAACCGTGAACCAATATGTTTATGTGGTGTAATCACATATAGTCATGATGGTAATGCATGTGACTATATATAACTACATTATCAGAAACTAGTATGTACTTAACATTTTAACAACACGATGAACATTATTCATATATATTATAAGAGGATTTTAAACACAAGGCTACAACATGACTCCATATGGCTAGACCACACCATCTATTGTTGGGATGTAATACCTCAACGCATGCTAAAAAAGTCAAACTGGCACGCATACCAAACATGACTGCTGTCCCAATAACTGTCTGTATACAAAAGTAAATCGCCCCCAAAACACCAAAGGGAAACTAATTTGGATCTACGGGCACAAAAAATACATTGGATTTTTCATATTGTACATACAAAATGCTTCACGAAAAATTAGGATTTACTTACACAGACTAACCGACGTCAAGCTTCATGGGCGAGGGGGGTGGACAATTATGTACCAAATAGGTTCGATTTGGTATGTGACTGCAGTTTCGAAGCGAGGGAATTTTCGATTTTTGGGAGTTTTTGATTTTGGGGGTTTTTGATTTTGGGGGAGATTTCACTCTGTGAGTCTTCTTCACGGGGATTTATCCGATTTTTTTTTATTTTTTTTAGTTAAGAGCATTTTTATTAGGGAAAGCAAATAAATAATCCTCATTAATCGGGATTAGGCGCCACATTACTAGAGATTTTGAAAATACTGGATAATTATTAAAAACAAACATGATAGGTAGTGCAAGAGTAAAATTAGAAATAAATATTCTATGAGATTTTCACAAAAGAAGAATTATGGTATGAACATATCACTATTTTTTATCTATATGAGTGGGTTATTGCTAATGATCCCTTTTAAATTTGGGGAGTTAATGAGAGGTTAAAGAATTTAATACCTCACTGGAATTAATTCTAATTTCTAACGGTGAAACATTAAAATGGATCATCAAATATTAGTTTGATGTTGGTTTTATTATTTTGATACTCATTTAATTCGGCCACAATCATTAAATAGATTATTAACTTTTAAATATACAAACAATATATTTAAAATTGACACATGTCAATTCATAACAAGTTATTTGAGTAATTACTTTTTTGATACATTTTTTCATAACATTTTTGCATCACCGAAAGTTAAATATCAAAATAACTACAAATATAATTTATCCGTTGAAGATAAAAAATTGAATTTTAGAGCACCAAAATATATTTTTTACTATTTGATTCCCCATCTGTATATGAAAGATAATCCCATGTACAATATTCATTAGTAATCTGTAAAGTAAATTGGATTTTCTTTATTATTTTTCCTTATGGTAAAATTGAATTTGATATTAAAAAAAAAATCATATAATTGATTCATATTCATACATTTGACTAAAGTATATATACACAGAAGGAATGAATGTATTCGCAATTAGTGATATGATTACCTTAATCTTTATTTGAAGAAATTCATTAATGGTAAAATGTAGTATTTTAGGTTGACTCACAAACTTGTTTGTGTATAAAATAACCCCCAACATCTCCAATTTTTCCTCACCATCAAAATACATATATATGATCTTCAATATGGGGTTCACTTCATTTCTATTTATCATTTGCATTCTCAATTTTAATCAATTTCTCAAAGCAGAAAATCTTGGTGTATACATAGTCTATGTTGATCCAGCACAATCCTCCGACGATCTCGAAACGTTTTACGATTCATTCTTGCCGACGACTTCTAACGTAACCTCAAACAGTGACGATCAGCCGAGAATACTGTACCGATACCGCCACGTGTTTTCGGGATTTGCCGCGAGATTATCGACAGCTGACGTGGAAGCAATGCGGCAGAAGAAGGGTTTCATCTCAGCCCAGCCCGAAAGGATGTTGCAACTGCACACCACACATTCTCCGAATTTCTTGGGATTGAACCAAAACACGGGCCTATGGAAAAAATCCAACTACGGCAAAGGAGTCATAATCGGAATGGTGGACAGCGCAGTTGCGGCCAGCCACCCATCCTTCTCCGACAAAGGGATGCCGCCGACGCCTGCGAAATGGAAGGGCGTATGCGACTCCTTCGGCACGCCGCCATGCAACAACAAGCTCATCGGAGTTAGATTCTCCCTACCTCAACGTCCTTCGCGGACCACAAATGGCCACGGCACGCACACCATGAGCACCGCCGCCGGAAACTTCGTCGCGGGTGCCGGATTCTTCGGCAACGCCAACGGCACCGCCGCCGGAGTCGCGCCGCTCGCTCACTTGGCGATATATGAATCGTGCGGCCCCCTTGGCTGCCCGAACACCGCGGTGGCCGACGCCATTGATGCCGCCATCGGCGACGGCGTCGATATAATCTCGATCTCCCTCGGAGGGGGATCTCGCCGAGGTTTCTCTGACGATGTTATCGCGGTCGGCGCTTACAGGGCCATGCAGAGGGGTATCGTCGTCAGCTGCTCCGCCGGAAACAGTGGCAAGAGCGGTTTGGCAAACGGGGCCCCATGGATTATGACCGTCGGAGCCAGCACCATTGACCGGAAAATAACGGCCACCATAGTGCTCGGGAACGGCGAAGAAATCGAGGGCGAAACTGGCAAGGGTTTCCCCTCGACCGAAAAGTTAGAGCTCGTTTACCCTCGACAATTTCCTCCTCCCAAAGATGACTCGGTTAGAGGAAAGATAGTTGTGTGCGAATATGGTGGGGGAGTCTCGAGAATCGACATAGGAGAAGTGGTAAAAAGTGCTGGTGGAGCCGCTATGATTCTACTGAACACAAAGGATCTAGGAGACACCACTTTTGATGATCCACACGTTCTCCCGGCATTGGAAATCGGTTACGCCGATGGATTGAAAATAAAAGCATACCTAAACTCGACTTCGAATCCCACAGCCACATTATCATTTAAAGGAACTGTTATCGGTGGCGGTCGAGCTCCGGTAGTTGCTGCATTTTCCTCCAGGGGTCCTAGTGTACCGAGCCCTGGAATTTTGAAGCCCGATATTATCGGTCCTGGTGTTAACATTCTTGCAGCTTGGCCTGTTTCTCTCGAAAATAGAACCGACACAAAGCCAGCATTCAACATAATCTCGGGTACATCAATGTCATGCCCGCATCTCAGTGGGGTCGCAGCACTGCTTAAAAGCGTGCATCCTGATTGGTCGCCAGCTGTCATAAAGTCCGCCATTATGACCACCGCATATCAAGTGAACCTCAAAGGAAATCCGATCGAGGATGAACAATTGCAGCCCGCTACTGTCTTTGATATTGGTTCGGGCCATGTTAATCCGTCACGTGCAGATGATCCCGGGTTGGTTTACGATATATTGCCTGATGATTATATTCCTTATGTGTGTGGATTGAATTACACGAACCAACAAGTCGGTATCATCGTTGGACGCAATGTGGATTGCTCGAAAGAGAAGAGCATTCCCGAGGCTCAATTGAATTATCCGTCGTTTTCGATAATATTTGGATCGAGTCCTCAAACTTATACGAGAACATTGACGAATGTTGGCAAGGCTAATTCATCATACGATGTCGAGATTGTTTCGCCGAACGGTGTTACCGTGAAAGTGGAACCTAAGAAACTTGTGTTTCCGAAGTTGGGCGATAAATCGAGCTATAATGTGACGTTCACAAGAACAACCAAAGGGGCGATGAATAGTATTACTCAAGGATTTATTAGGTGGTATACTGCCGATTACTCTGTTAGAAGTCCCATATCAGTTGTATTTAAAGATTGAATAATTTTCAATAGTGAAATATCCCCGGACATGGGATTTTCATAATAAAAATCAAGAGGATTGAAATTTCCTTTCTTGTATTAATATTAGTTAAAATAAAAATTAAAAAGTTTTGAGTTTTCAGTAGCAAGATTTGACTTGTATTAAGATTTCTTATTGGAATGCCTCATAGTCGATGGAATTTTGGTAATTTCGAAATTTGTATTAGTTTATAATCTCTTTTTTCAAAATTCGGATATAATAAAAAAATTCACAATATCTTTTTTTAATTTTTGCAGGAAAATGCAAGAAAATACAAAAGAGAGTTCGACAAAATGCAATAAATAAAAGGAAAAATTACGCCATCCGAATCTCACCACATCCTCCCTCCATTACGCCACCACTGCCCAAATCCAAGCGCCTTTGAAGTCCGCGTCGAAGACTATGGTAACGACGCAGTAAAGAAGATTGTGCCATGGCGGATTTTTTCGCAGGCAGACCCGAGTGAGGCGAGCGAAAGCGGCGATGAAGAACGGTGGAGTGGCATACGGTGGAGGAGAAATCAAGGCGTTGTTGTACCAAGGGGAGAATGACTAACGGAGGGCAGATTATGGTTTTTTAATGTAATTTTGCTGTCTCTATTTGGATATGGCGCTGCTCGTGAAGAAAATCGGGATTGGGTGGCTTTGTTTTGGTGTTTTGAGTGGTGGTGGTTCTGTTTGGGTTGGTGGTGTGGGTTGAAATTTATATTTTTTGTAATAAAACGTCAGAATATGGAAGTGGGGTGGTGATAGTGTGGTGTGGCTGCGACGTTGTGAAGATGAGGAGCAAATGTTAGGATTATTATTATTATTATTACTAGTAATTGGCCCTGTGCGATGCACGTGACAAACTATTGATCGTTATTCACACAATAAATATATTATCTTTATTTGTCTATGGATTCATTATCTATAGAATACAATCATTTGTGTATGGGTCCATTATATATAGAATACAATTTTTTATCTTATGAGCAATTAAAGGCAGAGAAAGACTTTGTTTTTTTTTTTCGCTAAATAATATTCAATAAATAAATTGAAGTTGCAATTTTTCACTAATAAACAATGTATTTTTAGCTTCAATTTCCTATTATAAAATGGATATTTTCATTACATATATATGTTAATATAATGACATCAGTTTTTATTGTCCATGAAATTAGATACGATAAACATAGTTTTCACTTTTCACTACAAATTACTGCTAAAATTTATAACTAACATTGTATATTAGACTGTATATGCTAAAAGCAATCTATGTACATATTTTTTTCTCTCTATATATATATATATATTAAATCATTATTAACAACTTAAGTTTAACATTTAGATAAGCTTGAGTCCAGATAATAATGCACACTCGGCCAAAATCTAGTTGAAACATGCAAAACGGGCATACACAAGAGAATATTATAATAAAAAATAAACTAACAACAAACAATAAACGAATATAAATTTCTATTTTTCTACAAAATACCAAAATAGTACAAAAAAAATCCATTTTTAGAAAATAATTCATGTCAATCTTCTAATTGAAGGTTTATTATTAATCCACCAAAAACATTGTCCAAATGCAGATGAGACTGACGGTCCGTTTGGCTAAACTTATTTAAAACATTTTATACGCACTTAGGTTATATTTGACAAAATATCCATCCATTTTGTTGTTGTCTCCTTATGAAATAGCATATGGGCAGTTCATTCCAACCTGGTAATTTGGATTTTAGCTACTAATACAACATCACTAAAACCTTAAACAACATATATCAACTCATCAATCTTAGGAATCATTAAAGGAGGTTATTTTCAAGATTCGGATAAGATAACATACAAAGATGAAATTTTCAAATATATATACGTTCGTGCAGAAATAAATACAACAAAAACACAGTGAAAGAATTAAAGCGGCGAACATATAACATACAAATGTGAAATTATTGTAGCAGTTACCTTGTACCTTTACATGTTATCTTCTGCAATGGGATTACATAGGGGTGGTTTCGGTACGGTTACCGAATATTTTGTTCAATACCGTGTACCTACCGTATCTTTCGGTATTGAAAAATTCTATACCGTTACCGTACCAACAATTACGGTATACCGTTATTCGGTATACCGTTAGTTTCGGTACGGTATGATCGGTACGTGGTAATCTACCGTACGCCATTTTGTTGATGAACTCGGATGATACAATAATTAAGATGAATACTAATTAAATGCATAAATACAACAAATTAAGCAAATGAATATGGTAATCAAACAATTTACATGAATATATATTATACGGCCGTAATAGCGTATGTTGCTTCAATTAACTAATGATTACTAAGATATGTATAGAAAAATTGTAGAAACTAATGAGCAAAAAATTTCATGGTTTAAGTAAGATAAATAAAAAAAATTATGTTGTAATAATGCAAATGAAACAAAAGGGTGAGAACTTAGGGGGAAAGAAAGGGAGAAGAAAATTATGGCAAAAAATATTCCACCAATAAGAGATTAGTTGGACTTTGAAACTAAAGAAGTACGTGAAATAAACAACTTTAACGAGAACCAAATTAAATATTGAGTTTGCATAAATATATGAAAATAATAAAAAAAAAATAGAATTATGTATATATAATATATATATAGGATGTATCATATCTTTATTCTTGTTAATTTTTTATTTTTATTTTATAATATTTGTTGACTATATTTTTTATATTTACAATATAAAGGGTAAAATATATTAACTAATTTTTAAAATACAAAGTTACGGTACGGTACGGTATTACCATGGTATTGAAGATACAATACCGCTACCGTACCGTAAGATAATGGTACGGTACCGATACCGTACCAAATATAGTGGTAACCGATAGTTCGGTATTTATTCGGTAATTGTTGGTAGGTATACCGTGGTAATCGGTATTTGGTAATTTTTGCCCAGCCCTAGGATTACATGGTGATTTTGTAGGAAGAAAAGAGGAGAATAACTAACATCAACAAACATTGGGGTAGACAAATGGTGTTGAAGTTAAAGCACACAAATACAAAAGTGTTGCACAATGTTTGTTCAAACTTAAAGAAGAAGTGAAAGTGCATATACGATCAGCCTTAACATCTGTTAATGAGGAGGAGAATACACACACACACAAACAAAATAATAATAATAATAATAATAATCTTATATATAAAAGAAAGAAACATTAGGCAACCCTAAAAAAATCTAATGGTGTTTCTGTAATTATTTATTTTTAATATTTTTTTTCCTACTAATTTTCTTACTATAATTTTCAACAATTATCTATTTCCTATTTTTCATCAATATATCTCAAATCTTAAAAGACAAAGATAGAAATTCAATTTGTTAAATCTTAATCTATATATTTGGATTATAAATCTTTAATATGCAATATTTAAAAAAAAAACTAATGTTACATATAATATGAATAATAGTACAATATTAAATTTTACTATGTACTATACTTTCTTATTATATATTAAATTAATTATTTTTTTCACTTTTTAAATAATATCCGTGCATCGCACGCGAAAAAAATGCTAGTAATAATAATAATAATAATAATAATAATAATAATAATAATAATAATAATAATAATAATAATAATAATTCTAGTTACATGTTAAAGACGTGCAACTTTCCACTAATTTCATCATTAACCTCTCTGACAACCTGTGTATAGAATTATTTCTCGAGCCGGCCTTAATCTGTTATGTTTGATCATACAAAACATTGACGAATTTGAAAATTCCTCTTGTCATTGTCGTCTGATAATTCGTCCCTCGAGTTCTCCAACCAATCATTCACATCCGCCGACTGCATAATCTGGTCGTACAAATGATGAATGCAAACCCAAGAACAAATGCCTTGAGAAAAGATGCGTCAGAAAATCAAGTCAATATGTGTTGGGTGGCCGTTCAAATAGCATTAATATTTGTTATGAATCTGTTTATTTGTAAAGAATAAAAACCAACTCTGATAAAATAGGTAGAATTGTATTGATGAAAAGGTGAGAAACATTCAATACAAACTGGACAAAAACTCCATCACAGCTATTCTACCCTACCTACTTTAGTAATATCATAAAAGCATAAAACAAAAATGCAGATATTGATGGCCTATAAATAGAAAAACTCTAGAGGAGCCTTGGGGAGCACTCTGATGTCTTGAAGCATGAAGAAAGTGTGAGTTCTCAGCAAAGTCATCAAACCGACGGCGTTTTGATGACTCAAACTTCAAATAAAAAACGTGTTTTGCTTACACAGTCGGGCACGCTTCTATAAGTGCTGCGACGTCGTTTTGGGAACTTAAATAAAAAATTGAAAAACGGTTAATACCGTTACACTACCCTTCCCTTCCAAAAGCCATGACTCATGGCTTGAAGCTTGGGAATTTTTCCTTCATCTCAGCTGCAACTTCCCACGTGGCCTCCTCCACTGGCAGGTGTGCCCACTCCACTAGCTATTGCACTTGAGCCACATTGTTGTACTTGACCAACCTCCTCTCCCTCACAGCCACCGGAACCAGTAGGAATTGGTTCTGCTCATCAAGGGAGGTAGGGTTGATGTGACCCTTGTAGTGTCTCCAATATGCTTTTTCAACTGGGAAACATGGAAGACCGGGTGTACTCTAGCATCGGCAGGTAATTGTAGTTCATAAGCTACCACTCCAATCCTCTTGGTAATAAGAAATGGTCCACAATAATTTGTTGTTAATTTCCATAGCTCACTCTTCCTCAAGCTCATCTGTTTGTAAGGTTTCAGTTTTAGATAGACCCACTCCCCTTCTGCAAACTCCCTCTCACTTCTATGCTGGTCAGCATAGAATTTTATCATCTGTTGTGCTTCAGTTAATAACTCCTTCAATCTCTGGGATATCCTCTGATGATCCTTAACCCATGCTTCAACTCCCCCTGTCTTCCTTAGCAAATGAGCTCCATATCCAACTTGAGCTGGGCTGTAGCCGTATAGGGC